GTAGATGCAGAGCAGTCACACGTGAAGGACAGACAAATAGTGTGGAGGAAAGAAGCGCAGGGATCTGCATCAAGTAAATTGGAAGGCAGATCGTTCGGGCCAAAATGCTGCACTTTATATTTCTGTGAAACCTGTAGACTTCAACAACTTTATTTAAAATCCATTGTGGCGTTTTATACAGGCAACATCATAACTGTCATTGTTTCAATTCTCCTGGACGTATAGGATCAGTATTAATGTTAATCACTCAAGGGATCGCTGTAGAAAAAAGGGTCACTTGTCAAGAGGAATTTACGTCGCTGGGTGAGGGACTTGTTAGTGGCCATATGGGAGCAGAAAGGAGTGCCATGGTGCTGGAGGGGGGTACATGTAGGGTCCCATGTTCTCCTGTCACTCTGATCTTATCAGGGGGCCTGTCCAAGAGGAGGACCAGCTGACACTCTCACCGTGCTTTTGATGTCCTCTTCCAAAACTCACACTCACTATTTCAGAGCAACCAGGCCTTATTTTTCTTTAGTGGCTCTGTTGGCAGGCAAAGTAGAAAAATCCCACTGCCGAAAAAAATTCAAGATAAAGCAAGATTGTTCCAGCCCTAGGACACGTGGGCTCGCACAGCTGAAATGAGTCGTTTCAAGCAGGTGTGTCCAGACTGTGGCCCGGGGGCCATTTACGGCCCATCGTCCATTTTCCAGTGGCCCTCAACATGACTCAAAAAAATATATATACTACCAGGAAAAATGACATTTGACATGGGCGGCAAGGTTAGTCAAATGACCCATTTATGATTACAAGAATAAGACAATTTATATTCAAAACACTGTAGCGAACACAAATAATTAAGTTTTAAAGGCAAAAATAGTTTGTTCCACTTTGTGCGCCAGGGCTAATTTATGAAGACATTGCATGAAAGATAAAGTAACTGAAAATGGTCACTTTACTACAGTTTGCGCTTTTTTTGGTTCTGAATGTGGAGATGTCGTTAAGTGCAGAGCTGGATCTAAGCTGTGAGATAAAGGGCTGTTGGCCACCCCAAAAACTTGGAAATATCCTCAACTATTTGCCTTAACACTTTTAACAGACCGCTGATGAAATTAACTAGACTGTACAAACAATATAAAACTGCGCTCTTCAGTGACTTTAGCCCGTTTCAAAAAGTTAAAGAATTTCAAAGTGGCCCTTTCATCCTTCCATTTTTCTGCATGCGGCCCTCAAACGAAAAAGTTTGGACACCCGTGGTTTAGAGCCCTCAGGCCTAACAAAAGAGAGGCAATCCTCTGAAGTGACACAGGACATCCTGCTCATAAAACAGTCAGGACATCCTCACAGAGAAACTGAGTCTGATAATGGAGGAAGCACCATGCAGTTAACAGATACACCAACTAGTTCCCTTGATGAGCGCATAACCTGTACGCACTGTGTAGTCCCACTGATTCTGGGAGAATGGAGCGGTTATTTTTGCCTACTCAAGCTCGAACTGTTGCATCAGATAGACTTTAAGGCAAATGTACCTTCAACAGGTTTATGAATGTTTTTGTAAGATTACTGGATAACATCTTGTATAATTTGTATCATGCATAATTGTAGCACCAATAGTTCCCTGGCTTGGCTGCAAAGGTTAGAACCAAACACTGCTTTGCATACATGTGCAGGGATTTTCTCTTGTGGACAATTGCTTGGCAGGGGCATCTGCACTCACGTTGCCCTCTGTCGCCGTGAGTGCGTGCTCTCCATAGATTGCGAACTTTTGAACCACCCCTTGACCACAGCTTGAAGGGAGTTGAAACAATGGTAAGCAAACACTGTGGAGTGAATGAAGGGATTAGCTATTAAATGACAGGATGTACTTAAAGAGGAGCAGGTGGTGGTAAAGGAAGGGCCTGCTATGCCTTTGCATGAGTAGGACAGCATGAAAGTCTTTTGGCTTGTTCACCATTTGCTTTGGCCTTCATGGCTGCACATGTCTCAGTCTTTGCCCTGTTCACTTTCAATGTCTTCAAATCTCTGGTCTCTATCTCCATTGTGCACGTTTACACAACCAGAGAAGCCTTCTCCTTAACTCTGGCTGCAGACAATTGACATTCATGAGATTGGACATTCCAGTCCAGCACCATTCATACATACAGTCATCTCGGGGACAAAAGATACGATAAAACCCATTCCCAATAAGGAAGGTGTGCAAAAAGTCAAGTGTATCTTAATCATTTCATTATCTAGAAATCTGAAATATAATAAATGCAGACCTAAATACAATACTAAGCTCAAGAGGTGTATAAAAGATATGATTTTTTTTGCTCAGTAAGACTTACCTAGCATACTAGTATACAGTATACAGTATGCCATACTGGTACTTAGTTATATACTTTGTACATTAGCAGACTTAAAAGTTTAAATGAAATACTTTATGCAAGATGATTCTCCACAAAGCATGATATCCTTGTCGCTGCCAGTGGAAGGCTGGGTATTCATGAGTTTCAGAGCTCCTCCCAGAATCGACATCTATAAAAAGGCCCACCTCCCCCTGTCCCAGGTTTTACCATCAAGAAAGTCACATCGCTTTTCACGTAACTCAATAACACCCAGTCCAGATAGTTTAAGACAACAGGAGAAATCTTCACAAACCAGAAACAGTTACTGCAAAATAAGCACAGACGATGTTCAATTCTTGAAAACATTCTTGCAATAATTCAAAGGTACACTAAATATAAATGGCTCCAATGGAATCAAAGACAAATGGTGACGAGAGGGAGCAAAGAGAGCCTGGAGACTGACTGGGAAGGGCGGGTATAAATTAGGATTCGGGTTTACCTGATCTGATCCTCACGTAAGGGGAGAACCCCTCCTCCATCTGTGACTCAAGTGAACCCAGTCAAAGTTTAATTAGCACCTGTCTGCGGCACACCCTTTGTTGTTCTTAGTCCTCTCTATGGTCTTTTGTCGTTTGTTTGCAATGTTGTTCTTGATTCACAGTTGTCACATTGTCACAAATTTGTTAAAAGTGGTGTGGCAGTAAACAATTGATATTTTTGATCGTTTGCTTTGTTGGACACATTTTAGACAATGGAAATATGCTTTGACTGTTGTGCTAACAGCAAGAGTCGAAGCTCAGTGACCTCCTGTGTAACTTGTAATAAGATCACTGTCCAAAGCAGCTCAGTGACATGCGTTCTGATGACTTAAGTGATCATCTGTCCCAGTACTAAGAGCACTTTTAATGACACTTTTACCTATTTATAGAGGCGTGATTCGTTCTGTATTTACTTTGGCAAGTAGCTGTGATATTCCCACCAGTCTTTGTGGTGTCAGCACAAAAGTGTATGATATTGATGAGAACTGACATCTGCACATGTGTGTTCTTGCATTTGATGTCAGAGTCAGAGCGGCTGAACGATAGTCTGTGGAATGAGATCCCGAACGACATCTGGAGTCCTTCGTTATGTCTTGACAGGCATCCATGGGGAGTATTTTGGAAAGAGGCTAATACCTTCAATACAAAATACATCTACGATTAACTTCAAGTCCTCTAATATTCAGATAATTGTGTCCTTAAATATTTAATCTCTATGTATACACATCTGTATATTTAAGACCTGGGTGTTTTCACTCCCAGACCGTTGTAAGCCTGAATTATACTGTATGTTGCTCCAGTAAACGTATTTCTATGCACTTGTATTTCCTCTTAACAGCAGAATGTAGTTTCATCAGCTGTAGACCAGTGACAAAAAAGGGAAAGTAAAACAGATCTGCTGAACATGATGAAAAGAAGATCCTAGAAACCGCAAGGGTATGAAAAGGCCCCCTGACGCCCCTTTTGTAGATATCCTTGGAGATGAGCCAGCGCTACAGCTGCAAAGGTCAGCCAGCAAGCACACAAGGTCAAACTGACATGGTCCTGCTTCACCCAACATCAAAGTTAAGTCCAGCTTCCTCTGAGCCTGCTTGAAAACAGCAGCTCTAATCCCACCAAGGTCTCGCTGTCACCCTCATGGAGAGGACAGAGGGCATACAAACCCCAAGTAGTTGATTCAGTTGCAGCAATTGGTAGAATTTAAAACATTAACTTTGATGTGAATTGAGGCCTTTGCACTTTGGACCCACATCTTGTGATGGGTAAAAGGAAGAGTTGCCCTTCAGTGTGCACTTTGACTCTAAGAAGTTTTTCTTTTCTTCTTAGAGAGAAAATGTTTCTTAATTAAAGGAGAATGAGACAAGCTCAGGCTGAAAGAGAATTAAACACTAGCCTCTGTAGTGATTATAGCTGCAGGGAACACAAAGTAAATTTGATGAAACACTGAGTATGGCATTCCTATAATCTCCTTCAAAAATTCAGGTCAGAAAAGGTGTTTGATGGGAGAAAATGTTCTTACATGTGACCACAGGAGACATAGCTGTTACCTGAAAGGTTGGTTATTAGACAATTTCACATTAGACAAAATCACTTGCTTGCTAAATCTGTAGAAGAATTTCAATTCATTTTGAAAGCATTATGTGATCCCACTGACATTGTCAACCGTCTAATCTCCTTTTCATAGCTCAGCAACAACAAAGCTATCATTTCTCATTCCTCCGCCAGCCTATGTCCACTAATTCTTTTAAAAGTATAAGCCCAAACTCGGACATTTTAGCTGTAACTCACTTACTGTCATTGCAATGTCCATTCATGTGTGGTGATTGTTAGTTTTAGCAAATGTGTTTACTTTCATTTGAATATCTGAGTGCTATTTCACCCCACTAATTAAGCATGACTGTCTGGGTCGAATGTTGAATCTGTGATTTATTAAGCCAGCAGATGGTCTGAATCAGGAAACCAGATAAGGAGCGGTTCCAGATATCTGTGCTAAATTGGTTAGCCTCAGCAGGATGTTTGTTAGGATCAAGACGTTTAGTTTTCAAATGCATGATAGTCAGCTGCAAAAGCAGTCTCAATCAAACCCATAGTCACCTGTGATTGTAGATATTAACGGTAAAAGTAAAGGGTGTATTTAAAGGCCAATGCAAGCTGATTCAATATTCATCAATTGATAGTTTATTATAAGAAACATTGATTGTTAGTCAGAGAAAATCAATATTTGCTTGAAATAATGTCGGATTTATTTGTCAATGTACACATTTTTATGACTATCATGAAATCTTCAACATGACAATTATGACACATGCATTGAGAAATGAATTATAATAACATATATTTACAAATAAATGTATAAATGTGTTATACAAGCATGCTTTTACAACAAAAAAATTACAACACACACACACACACACACGTTTTTTTTTTTCAATGAAAACACAATGAAAAACAATCAGTGCACTGAAAAAAGAAGGGTGCTGCAAGAGGTGAGATCTTTCTGATAAAGTTCACACAGTTCTTTGTTTTTTCCTCAGTGACAAATATGTTGCCTCAGGTAACTGTATTACACCAGGGTCATGACCTTCAGTGAGGCAGGCTGAAAGCGGCGAATCTTCTTTTTCAGAGCTCGTGAAGCTTTGATGCGGCAAGCTGAGGGCTCTGGTCGTGGGAGTTGCTGCAGGGTCTTTCCAGCTGCAGTGGGCCCCACTGCAGTTGTTTCTTGGGCCCATACCAGGTCACCCTCCTCCTCAAGGCTATCCAGATGGTCTCCCTCCTCCATGGACAGACTGCTGTCAGAATCAGAAAAGGATTGGAAACTCTGGCTGGATTCACTATCCCCAAAGCGATTGGTGGTGTTATCGCTCATCTCCCCGTCGCTGCTTGCGGCAATGGTGGAGTGAAACAGTGACATGCACTCAGCTGAGTACTCGGACTCGCATCGAGGTGGGTAGTGGTTGGACATATGATAGGGTGCTGGAGGGTATTTGGCATTGAGTTTGGTATTGAATGAGTTTGATGACATGGAAGACATGAAGCGATGATGAGGTCCTATCCACTGCCCTGACTTGGCACTCATATTGCGGTGTAAATGCATACTCCCTGGTGCTTGTGCAAAGACTTCTTTTGACCTCTGACGTTGAGCAGACAAAGCTTGGAACTTCTCCCCATCATATAACCACTTGGCAGCCGCTTGCCTCTTCTTCCTCTGCTCCGCAGTCTGCTCATACTCCTCGCATTGCAATCTGCGGCTTTTGCTGCACTTGGTAGCAGCTGGGGCAGGGTGTGTCTTTGGATGGACCTTGTGGGTGTAGATTATTCCAGGGCCACACTGGCTTGAGTCTGAGCCTGAACCTTGCTTGTGCTCCTCAGTTGGAGAGCAGGGGTATTTATGGATGATCTTCCCCTTTCCTGGTCTTCTTGGATCGCCCTTGCACCCGTTGGATTCTCTCGTTCGTTCGGCAGATGAGCAGAGGTGCTGTTGCCTCAAAGCTCGAGGTCTCTCACTGGTCCTTCGTCTGAATTTCACGGCTTTGGTTTTACGATCAGCTTGTCTCACCTTGACCCTCTGAGTTCCAGCAGGAACGAATTTGGCATGGACAAACTGGGGGGAGCCAGTGTGGTCATTTTGCACCTCGACGATTTGACTCTCCTCTGCGCTTGAACTGTGAGACATTACTGGTCTGTGAGCCTTCTTCTCTATGTAACTTGTTTTTAGGCAATTTCCACATGCGTTTTCTGTGTGGCCTCTAGGTACAAAACCAACATGCGTTTTGTCTGTCTTGCTCAGGGATGAAGCAGTGACCTCATCAGAGCTGTACTCCCTCATTACAGCAGGATAGGAATGCCCATAGGAAACCTCCTGAGGTCTCGCAGGCTGTTGGTGGCCTGCGTTATCAGTTGTTACTTGACAGGAATGCGTTATGCAGTGTCTCTTCTCTTCGTTATCTAGCAGTATGATGTCTGTGGCTTGAGTTGGGGGAGGTTGAGGAAGAGATACATGTTTCTGAGGAAACACAGTTACGACTTCAGGTGGTTTCCTTTGATAGGTGCCGTGTGTCTGCATAGCCTCGGGTGCCATTTGAATGTGGGATTTGTTGGAGCTGCCCTGGAGGAGCTTGTCAATGTAACCTAGGGTCTTGGTATCATAGCCCATTTCAGTACTCTGGAGCGTGTCAGAATCACTCGCTGGAGGCCTGTCGGCATTTCCAGCCATAGCTGATTCCCCACCATGGAAAAAGATAGGACTTTGCAGGGCGACAGCATGCAAGGGGCTTGGGTACTGATACCATTCAATTCCATTTCGGGATATCAAATTGCTCTGGAATTTAGGGTCCGTTGCAGGAATCTTGGGAATTGGGCACATCGGTGGTTTCTTAGCATCCACTGGTTTATAGCTCAGTGCTTGAGTTATCATCTTGTCTAGGTCACCTGGGAAACACAGCAAGCATAAAACAAGAATTAACATTTCATATGACATATGAAACTATGTGTGAGTTCATATATAGACAGCATTTAAACTACATTACTAGTCAAAAGTGTACATATAGACAAGAGTTTGATTAATACATCTGCCAGTAAACAAAATGAGAATTTTCATCTCAAAAAGGCCCATTATTATTCGATCTCATTCAATAAAGCATGAGTACCTCATGTTGTACTATGTGAGTTTCAGGTCATTTGACTATGTGTTTTTAATGCGGCATCATAGAACAGAACGAGTGCTTAAGGAGCGCCTACCTGTTGACACGGGTCTTGGCCGTCCAAGTTCAGTGACAGTCGAGTTTGCTCTGATCCTCCTGCTTCCCAGATGAAGGCCTGTTGCCCGGGTAGGGTTGGAGTGGGTTGCACCTTCATCGGCTGAACGACGACGGTACATGTCAGGTTGTAATGGTGGGCTAACTTGAGAATTAACTGCACTTGTGGAAGGGAGAAGAAGACTTGTCTGTGAGGATGACAGACACTCACTGTACACAGAAGTACAGGAGTTTGACAAGGAGCAAGAGCCACCATCACTGAGCTCGTAGAAACCTGGGGAGAGAGCAATTACTTAATAGCAAAACTGAATTTACTCTATGCTCTCCTCTTAAATGTTGAGAGTCCTGTGGGGTAATGTGAGTGCACACACCTGAACTTGGTCTGCTGTCACTCTCCAGTTGCTCATTGGAGGCCTTGCTCACATCCAGCTTCAGCTCACTTATTTGTTGGTCAAGCTGCTGCAGGTGAGTCTTCAGTCCTACGTCCTGTTTCTGAAGACGAGACTGTAAGAAAAACATATTCTTTAAGACAAACCCATTTACATATGTTCATCACTACAGCTAAGACACAAAGGCAAGCATGGTCAGTGTTCATTTATATTTGGGTATTTTTAAAAAAGCCAGAAACACACAAAGACAACTACTGTACAGTCCTTAGAAAAAGAGGCGCTACTCAGCTGTGGCTGATGATTAACCCCAGCAGGACATGGGGGAGCATGGAAAAGCAGCGGTGGGTAACTCATTTCTCCCCCACAGTAAAGGCTGTCCATTGTGTAAACTGCTTAGAGGAGTAAAGATTGGGGGCTGGGATGCAGGAGTGTTTACTTTGCAGGCAAGGCATGGCATTCACTGTTACAGTTGTTAACGAGGAAGAAAATAATATACTTTTAAATCAGGTTGATTATATTGCTCATACGTTTATTTTCCGATTTCAGTAGATGTCTTCTGTAATTTAAGATGGGCTATGAAGATAATTTTTGAGGTTCAACCCTCATTCATCACAAGTATAACACAGCAAATCATTATTACTTCGGCATGCATGATAGTCCCTGCTCTTCCTGAAAATGAGTATAACAGCAGCACACATGGCAAAACTTGTCAGGGCTAGGACCTTGCTTTGCCAGTTGTCACAAACACTCAGGGGCAGCACTGACTGTCACTCTTAACAAATGAAAGAACACACCATTCCCACATTTTATTGCTTTGTATTTCCTGGCATTAGTGGTTAACGATTGCGACTGACGCCCCCACCCCCTGCAGTCTACACCACATACACAATACTTTGCTACAGCAATGAACCTGATTTATGACTCCAGTCCTGCTTCCTACCTCCAGCTGAGTGCTTGAAAGTTTCCTAATAAACCAAGGTATGCGAATCAGCTGACTGATAAATCGATACTAAAGTTTTTAGATTCTAAGGGGTGAATGTTTCAATTATCTTAAAATAAACTCATCAGATTGCATCAACGTGTCGGACATCTCTCATAACTAATCCCTTTTGTGACTGCATGTAAGCAAGTTCCTACCAGCTGTTGCTTCAGAGCTGCGAGGGTCGCTTCCAACCGCTGCTCCTCGGCCCCCATCTTCTTGGCGTCCACCAGACCGGCGTGCATGCGACTGACCGGTTCTTCCCGGTCCACATTGAGCGCCCAGTTTACCATGTCGCCCTGTCTGTCCCGAAGCAGATGGAGCTCTTGCAACCCGGCCAAGGCGGCCTGGAGCCTCTCTCCTACCCTGCTGCGGTCCATTCCCACGGCGGCGTTTATCATTCCCACGCATGAACCCTTAGCGCTCAGCATGCTGAAGGGTAGACACCATGCATATCCAGACACTTCATACAATAAAGAAAAAGTCTCTACGACGGAAGGGCAATGACTTGTTTGGTCTACGTCTTACTCTTCACTGCTGCTGTTGACTTTCTTGGTTTTTAACCTACCTGATGGGGATACTCCCGAGCTCACAGGAGGTATTGAAGCTCCCCCCACAGACCAAATGGCCTCGCTTCCTATTGGCTGGCCCCCGGGCCCCATTCAACATCTGGTTTTAATTTTCCTTTTCAAGTGTTCCGCGGAGCTGCCAGGCCACGCACCCAGATGCAAATAGTACGCCATTAAGTGTTATTGAGCTATTTCCATTTTTCATTCTACATCATCTCCTTTATTCTGCCGATATTCCGATCAATAATATGACACTTCCCACTTTGCACACACATCTATCTATCTATCTATCTATCTATCTATCTATCTATCTATCTATCTATCCGTTGCATTTTAAAATAGAAAAGACAAAATATCACGTAGACCACCAAAAAAGATGTCGCAAAAGTTCATACACACTTTATGATGTACCTTCTGCCATCTAGTGGAACACAATTTAATTGTTTCTTCCTTCACTATTTTTCTAGCAGTATGCGTCGGTCGCTGGCATGGATACACTATTTGTAGTGAGTGAATAATTTCGGAGCAATTAATTGAAATCGGATGGTTGCTCTCTCATGGCGCACTGGTAGGGAATGGCTTTAATTGACGTTTTACATGGGGATCTTTTTTAGCTGTCTTGTCAGCAGAGAGAAAACAAATTTGGATCATGCAAACCTTTGTGAAAACTCGTAGACAACTGCGTCCTCTTGTGGTATAGAAGGGCATACTTTTCTTGAGGGTCGACAGGGTCGTGTATGATAAGAAATGTGTGAGGTATAAATATAAATCCTCTCACTAAAGTAGCACTTTAATTAGCACTCGTCTGTCTGTGCTGGAAGTTGAAGCTATCACATTGACGCCAATGAAACAGGAAGGTGGTAGAACGCAGACGAGATTAAAACCCAGAACATAAGAGCTGTCAGGCAGAATGGCTCTCCAGTTCGTTTCTCAAAAGAATCTAAAAAATAAAGAAACAACAAGAAAGTTGTACATATATTCTATTAATATGAATTGATGTTTGCGATTGGCTGGCAACCAGTTCAGGGTGTACCCTTCACACTGCCCGAAGACGGCAGGCTCCAGCATGACCGCCACCGTCATGGAAAATGGAAGGATGGATGAATATAAGTTTTTGTTGTGCCTTCTATTGAGTTATTTTCTTGCTTCTGAAAGAGGGTCAAGACCAGAGGATGTTGTTGATTTTTGTGAAGTCCTTTGAAACTCTTTGGTGATGAAGGCCTATATAAATACATTTGACTTGACTTAGCTAGACGATATCGCCCTACACTCACATTTTGTTTATGTCGTGTCATCTTATGTGGGAGGTTGAGAAAAGTAACAAGCCTGAATGAGTAAAGTAAGGAATAGAACGTACAGATATTTCCCAAATTTCCCCAGTGTGGGACAAATAAAGGTTATCTTAATCTTAATATCTGTTTTCAAATGTAGGAAATAAAAATAATAAGTAGTCGGAAAATGAAATACTCAAGTAAAGATACTATAAGACTCTAAGTACAGTCATAAAGTATTTCTACTTCGTTTACACCACTGGTCCCGAGACTTCCCATATTCAACCTGAAACAGTAGTGACTATAGATCAAAGTGACACATTGCAAAAGTATTTTAATTAACATCAATCAAATTAAATACACGCTCCAATGTTCAGCAATCCGACAACACAGCACAATAAGGCAGTGATTACCGGATCCTCATTATAGGTTAAGACAAGTTACTGTACACTGACACTGTACTTGGAAAGATGCTATCTTTAGCATCTGAATGCTGCATCACACGATGCATAGTAAACTTATGCTTTCCACACTAGAGGGCAGCCTCACACTAATTTTCACCATTGTCAGTTCACTTTTTATTATTTGATTCCCACACTCTTGGATTTGTGGTTGCTGACATCTTTAATCCATGTGCTGCTTGTATACCCATCTGATATTTTTCACTACCACAGAATCCAATCTTTGGTTTACTCCATCATACGCATGTCAAAATGTCATCAAGAAGCATTATGAAGCCTGGATGTCCCCTGTGCCCCCATCTCCTTCAAAGTGTGGCCTACAAGGTGATATCAGGAATGCCTACATACTATTTTAGTTAAAATTTCACTTAATTTGTCTGTAAATGATGATTATTATTATTGTTATTATTATTATTATTTTTTACAAAAGTATCTTTGTTCATATATCTATGACAGCGATGACAGGCAGAACAATGAAAATCCTCTTTCACGATAACAGAAGGTACAATTAACGTGTTTAAACCTGATGCTGATACAGCACAATAATAGCTTGTGTGCCCTGAGATTTGCAAAATGCAAAATATGTGACTTGATCCAATAATAAGTTAAAGTATTTAATTAGCCTATGCAGGCATGTTTTTGAAATGTATGAGGAAGCTGGAGTTCCCCCGAATAGACGCACGCAAGCATGGTGAGAACACACAAACTCCAAATTGAGATGTTCCAACAGAGATTCCGAAACCTATCTCCTGACTGTGACATCATACCTTTCTCTGTTGATTGGATGGGAGAAATCACATGGTTCCACTGGCTCGTAGTGAATTGTGTGACGCCCATTTTGATGGAGTTACCAAACATGTTTCCTGGCCTGCAAGGATCAGGTACTGTGACGAAGTGCAAGTAGATAGCGACGCAAACAATGGAAGACAATGCCACAAAAAAAAAAGATGCACAGGGTGGAAGTTACCTCGATAAACATGGGGTGTTGTCACATGTGGGAATAGGCCTTTGTGGCGGAAGCGGGCGGTGAATCTCTTGTCTATTCTTGGCACATGAAAAACAACCTTTTCACATTTAGGCCTCACACGCTCATGGCTTCAAAGTAAGCTAAATCTGATTACATTGTAAGCGTCTGATACCAAAAAAGAAGAAGATTCCCTACAGTAAATCTTGTTGGCTTTAACCATCTACAGTATGCATGATGTAAGGAATTCCCATGTGGGTTGTCTGATTGACCGGATTTTGTGAGAACCGATTTTGTTTTGCATCTGACAACAGAGCGTCTTTTCCTCCCCACCTCTGACATCAAACATTAAACATTTACAAAAAGTGACTCTTTGAATGAAGGAACCACGAAGAACCCATTTCTATTATTTCCATGGATAATCAAACACATCTAAAGATTAGGATGCTTTTGTCTCTTTTTTTGAGCAATTCTAAACTTACATGTGATTTCAGCTCTGGAAGGTCTCCCAGTTTTTCATATGGTCTGTTACTTTTGTAGTTGAAATTTATTGAACAAAAACCTTCAAGTACCATTTTTAGCTTGTCTTGCAGGCAAGTTTCATACAGCATTTGTTCTGCTCCAATACTGTTACTGTCCAAGCTACTTGGATTCTTATCCTCAGACAGTCACAGCACAATCCAGCATGTCAGCTTTCTATTCTCTGTCAGTGAAGCAGCGCCAAGATCTATCTCCTGATGAAATCTGAGATTAGAGGCTTGAATATGTGGGTTTCAGCTTTGATTAGAAGTTCTTCGTGCCCAAAAAGTCAAATGATGTCTCTTTTCTTTGTATTTGGCTTACTGGTACTTTGCTAAGATTGAAAAGGGATATTTAAAGATTTCGGTGGTGGACTTTACATCCATCTAGTCATAAAATTTTAATTTCAACGCAACAGCTCATGTTGCTTAACACACGTTTTGTCTTTACAAAGGCAAAACTCAGTTTTGGCTGACACCGTCAGAGAGGTATTAATTTTACCATGCACTGGATATGAGGTACAAAAGTCCTTTGTATCTCACCAAAACTGTGCCTAATGCTTTTGTTACCTTATTTTGCTACATCTGAAAGACAAAATATTTAAAACAGTTCCCAGTACGATGCAGTGCAGTTCCACACAAGTATAAACCAAAACCACAATGGTAAAATGTTATTCATCTAATACGTAGCTACATCATTCAATGTTAAGTATTGGATGGAAAGGTGTACCACTTGTGGCCACTGACTCAACATGTTAGGGAAGTGTAGATGAGTTGAATTAATTTGGGTGAGTCAACAACTGTTTAGATGGCTTGCCGAGGTCAGTCAGCACTGGTGGACCTGATCAAGACCATATCTTTCATTAACTTATCCCCCACATGCTTCTGTCTTTGAGTTGATTTTGCCCTTAGAGTGCAGAACCTCGTCACATGAGAGAGACCTTTATGCCGTATGCTCACAAAATTATCTCCTCATCAAATTTTATTTGAGCTGAGCAAACTTCTGTTTATTCAGCAAGTGAGCGAGACTGGCTTCCATGTAGTGTACTCCAGTAAATCATAAAGACATCGGTCTACATTAACATTGATTTAGCATTGCTTTACTCCTTAAGAGTGTGTGCAGCGTTCAGCCAAGTTCCTGATGAGAAGCAAAAACAGTAAATGTTCCATGATTCTTGTGTGACAAGCAAGGCAGCCCCGTGGAAAAAATACACACGCGTAAACAGTATATAATTTTTCTGAAAGCCCCAAATTAGGTTGTCAGGAAGTGCAGACACGCAATCAAAATGAATGTAGTGGCGATTTTCAGAATATTTTTTTATGTTGTATGTTTGCTTCACACATAGCTTTTATATCGAACACAGAGATAGCATATGTGTTTATTAACGAAGGCCTATGTGTATTGGATGGAGAAAACATGTCTCAAAGATGTCCTTTACCAACTTTACAGATTAGATTTCAGGCATAGTTATAAAAATGACAAAGTCATTGCAAAGGAAGCTTTATCTCAACTGGCATGTTACTTTTTATTTTATTTGTTTTAACGTGAGAGACACATTGAAGATGGTATGTCTTGCAAAAATACTCCACTGATGTTGGCTGCTCAGCAGTCCTTCCAGATCAAGTCAAAATTCAGTTTCAATGATCAAATACATGATAGCCGCATTATCTCTCCATCTTTATAGCCACACAGTATCATAGCTGTAACTTTAGGGTTGCAGGGCAGGCCATGTCACATTGGCCAAGCCGCTGCCTAAATACATAAGAGCCGTCGGATATTCCATAATATGGAGCTTGTTATTATA